TCATGAGCTCTTATAAATGCTGGTGAGGGAGCATCTGGGTGGCTCAGTCAGTTAAGCATCCAACTTCAGCTCAGGTTCATGATCTCACAGTTCATGGGGTGGAGACTTGCATGGGGCTCTGTGCTGACAGCTCAGAGCCTGGAGCCTGCTTCAGATTCCGTGTCTTCCTCTCTCTCTCTCTCTGCCCTCCCCTATTCATATTTTCTCTTTCTCTCTCTATCTCTCAAAAATAAACGTTAAAAAAATGTTTTAAATGCTGGTGTGGGACAGGCTGTTTACTGTTATCTACCCTCCCAATCCCCATTTTCTCTAAAATAGAAGTTATTTGGTTAAAGGATATTAATTAATATACATGAATGAAACTCTATTAGAAACAATAGTGGCAGATAGGTACAACTTGGCATATACAGGGATGAGATGTATTTTCGTTGATTAAAAAGAAAAAAAGAGAAATTTTTTTCCAGAAGTAAAACAACTGGTCATTCCAGACAATGAGGGACAAAACCTGACTCGATAAATGTGTGAAAAGAGAATTTGACTTGCCTTGGATTATAGTATGTGCAAATGATGAGTCTGAAAATAAGGGATTATGTTAAAATTTTGTTAAAACCTGGCACAGTTTTTATTTTATTCATATTATTTTCAAAAAGAGGCTGTGGTTCCTTTAATATCAAATATGTCAATGCAAAAGTAGAACTTGGCTTTCTCTCTGTTAAAATGACAAAATGTTCTTGAATATTGGTTATTGGTCTGCTCTTAAAGAGAGGTTGTAAAATGTTATTCTCTTACTTCCTGTGTAATCTGCCTAGATATCTGGCGGAAATTCTGTGTCTTCACAGAACAATTTTCCATACCTTTTAAAACAAAGATTTCCTTGGGAAATAGGGAAATAACTAAGTTTCCTTACAATGTTACCTTCTGTGTTTTTCATGTATTATTGTCACTTTCAAATGGGTAGACAAGGACCATTTCTTAGGCGCTCATCATACGCATTCAAATGTCCTAACAACTTTTGATTTTTGTCTTCCCCAAATCAAGTCCTACACTTGAAATAAAATAAAATTTTCTGGGTATCTTTTATCCATACAACTATCTCTGAGATGTTCCAGAGGGTCCCTGGAAAATCACAAAGATTTGTTTTTTTCCACTTTTTAAAAAGAGAGGTGCTACAAATAATTAGGTTTATTTGGTATGTTGCTACTGAATAACTGCGTGGAAATAACTGTGAAATCAGAAGAAACTCAGCCTTCTCTAGGTTAAATTTCTCAACGCAAAAGGTTATTATTTACATAAGTATTTCACAAATTGCATGCTGTATGAGAAACTTCTACAGATCTCTCAGTGCTCTCTGGGCCCATGATCTGCCGCCATGTATCAGCACCCTGGTGGTGCTTTGCCTAATGACAACAGTACTTGATTTCTGTTATGATTGAAAATGTTACCTGGGCTGCAATCTTACTTTAATTTGAAACTAACACCTTCTAGGTCAGTGGTTTTCAACTCGTTGCACATCAGACTTTCCTGTGGAGCTTTATTAAAATACAGATGTGAAGGGGCACCTGGCTAGCTCAGTTGGGAGAGCGTGCAACTCCTGATATCAGGGCCGTGAGTTCAAACCCCATGGTGGGCATAGAGATTACTTAAATAAACAAAATATGGATGTATAGGACTACTCCAGACTTTTACTGAATCTCTTTAGTTGATATTCTCGGTATATCCTTGGTATATTCTATAAATTATGTCTCGAGATTTTTAACTATCTTGAGATTTTGTTCCTCTATAAAAACTGTGTTTGTTCATTTTTAGAAACCAGATGCAATGTTCACCATCTTCTTTGAATTTACCTTACTACATTTGTAGACATTGTCTAGATGTTTAATTGGCTTTATTTTGTTTTGCATACTCAGCAACAACCAAATTTCCTGGTTAGCTGCATTATTCTTGTCATGGTTTCTCATCAGGTCGTTTACTTTTGAAAATTATCGTAACCAGTTAATTCATACCTTTTTCGGTCTCTGTCACCTACAGACAAGTTTTTGTTTCACTCTGCTGCTTCCTAAAGGTTCTTTAGTCGGCTATAGGCCAAAGGTTTTATCTTTAGCAATGAAGAACTATCTCAGAAAAACCCTGCACAGGGCACTTTTTCTCATGGCACTGCCCACACATCTTTAAGAACATACCAGTGCAAGGAGTCAGAATTTCCAGAACTGTAGTGAAGAAGCAGATAGGTTTATGAGATTGCTACCCTGAGATTCAGTGGAACAAGAATTAATCACATAGCCCTAAGTGAACTGATGAGGGAAGGCTGTCATTTGTGTCTGGAATATTCTTAATGTTACAGTGTTTGATGGTATGTAAGGAAGCCCTTTCTATTTCTTCTGCAGCTGTCTATAACCCATAAGACTTTAGTACATTCTGTTTTTGTATACTGACAGGAAATACTTGCGACTTTCTTATTCTCCCTACCTGACCACCATGCCCCCTAAATTCAGAAACTTTTGTTGAGTCTTCCTGCTTTTTGTAGCAATATCGTTATTAGTGAAAGTTCAATAAGAATCCATCCTTTTAAAAATGTTTATTTTAATTTAATTTTTAAAGTTTCTTTATTTATTTTGAGATAGAGGACATGAACGGGGCAGGGGTGGAGACAGAGAGAGAGAGAGAGAGAGAGAGAGAATCCCAAACAGGCTCCACACTGTCAATGCAGAGCCCAAAGCAGAGCTTGAGCTCATGAACCGTGAGATTACGACCTAAGATGAAATCAAGAGTTGGATGCTTAACCTACTTAGCTACCCAGGTGCCCCAGTCTTTTTTTTTTTTTTCTTTTAAACCAGGATGTAATTAGAAAAATTGATTATATAATCAAGGCTTGGCCTGGACTAACATATTTGACAATGATGATCATTTAATCAGATATAACCAGCCCCTTTTAAGGAACTAAGGCTGACCTCGTGGAGCCAATACTAATAAAACCCTCCCAAGAAACCTGGCTTACTGTGTTCCCTTATAGGCAAATAAGGAAAGTTATCTCCTGGCAGGCCCAGGAGGCTTAGGATATTTGGGAGGCTTTGAGTAAAGAGGATTGCCCAAATTTATAGGTATAGCAGGCAAAACCTAGGGTAAAGACCAGTGTCTTGGCGTGACTCACCAATCTCAAAACAATAAATAATAAAAAGATCGATCAATCAGTTGATCAATAGAGGCTTTTAAAAGTCCAATCTAAGACTCCTTATGAAAATTTCCAGCAAAGCAAACTTAACAAGGTTTGTATTATAGATTAACACTATTGCTGCACCTATACACATAATCAGATCGAATGTAACAAGATCAACCTTATTTTGTGATCAAGAATAATTTCTGAGACTATTTTTGATCAAAGCAGGGGAAACTATAGAGAAAAAAATGTTTTACTGGAAAACTCTATCTACAGGACACTCCTCCAGTTATTGAATTCTATCTAGCCTTTCATTGACTTTGGGCTATAATTCTTTGAAGTGGTAGGGAACTGATAAGTCATACAAACTACATGTATGAAGTGACAGTCTCAAATTAATAGTCTTTCCTCCCTCACAACCTGTGGAAAAATGTTTTTCTCAAAATTCCTGATTTATAAATGGACATTCTCTTTGTATTTTTTTTAAGGTTATTTTATTTTGAGAGAGAGAGAGAGAGATAGCTCACATGGGAGGAGCAGAGAGAGAAGGGGAGAGAATCCCAAAAGCAGGCTCTGGGCTGTCAAATCAGAGCCCAACATGGGGCTCAAACTCATGAACTGAACCATGAGATCATGACCTGACCCAAACTCAAGAGTCAGATGCTTAACCGACTGAGCCACCCTGATGCCCCTGGATTTTTTTTTTTAATTGTGGTAAAATACACATAACATGACACATTTTTAAGTGTACAGTTCAGTGGCATTAAGTCCATTTACATTGTTGTGCAGCCATCCCCCCCACCAATCCCCAGAACTTTTCATCTTCCCAAGCCAAAACCCCATGCCCATTAAACACTAACTCCCTACTCCCTCTTCCTGAACTCTTTCTTAACTGATCATAACATCTTCTGGCTCCCTCATTATGAGAAAAATAAAATCTTTAACATATGTTCATTTTTATATCCTAGCAGAGTCATGTTTTTTCATCTTTTTATGAAAAATATCTTTTCACAGTCCTAAACTCAAGGACGATCAAATACATAATGTAAATGAACTAAAAAGGCTGGAACTGGTAAGGACTGTCCCCAGTGAAGGCATCACTGGCTGGAAAGCGCTGTGGGTGATTAACCATCCCAACTTGCCCCCAGACTGAGGGGGTTGGGCATGCAGGGTTTTCAGTCTTAAAATTGGGGTAAGTGGGTCATCTTAAGAGCTCTCATGCTCTCTAAATGTAGTCCTCAACCCCTAGTAATATAATCTGAGAACTAGGCATGATGTTTGTTTTTCAAGAGGAGCCAGGAATCTGGGTCTGTCAAATTTTACTATTTGTAAATGATGGCAACTAACCCAATGTTTAAAAAAAAAAAAAATGTGCAGACTCCCCCAAACGGCCCCTGGGGTGGCCCCTGATGAAGAAAGGGGTGAAAGCCCTCCACCCCACCACACACCCCAACGTGCTGTGGCCTTCACAGCCTTCCCCCACTTGGTCAGGAGGAAAGCTAACTGCAGAAGCCCCGCACTCACTGTTGGGGTGCTAAGGGGCCGCTGAGATCAGAGGGGTGTGCGCTCTCCCGGTATGTCCCTTCGGGGCCTAGACACTGTCTTCCCACCCCCCACCCCCCCGCCCCAAAGATGAGGTCCCAGGACCACTGAGTTCTGGCTTTTGTGTTATTCAAGGAGTAGGAGAGAACAAAAGGGACACCCAAAACTCCAGCCCGCCCCGGCTCCCCCGTTCCCCACCAAACCAGCCCAGGGTGGGTGTGAGGCCGGCCCGGCCCCGGCCCGCCCGGCCCCGGGCGCCCGCAGCTGCTCCGGGCGGCGCGGCCCCAGCCCCGGCCCCGCTCACCAGCTGTCCCTGGAGAACGCGCGGAGGAACCAGACGCCCGGAGCCAAGGAAGACCGCATCGCGCCGGCCGGTGTCCAAAGCGGAGAGGGTGGCCGAAGGCAGGGACGGAGCGGGGCGCGTGTCGGTCGCTGGCGGTCGGCCGGGTTTAAATGCCCCGCGGCCCGTCCCGCCCCGGCTTTGCAGCCGGCCGCCTGCAGCCCCCGCCCCTTTGCACCTGAAGGGCCTCGGGGTCGGACGGCGCGCACGCGGCCCGACCGACCTCCGGCACCCGCATTTTCTCGCGTTCGGTCTCTCGGCTGGGGTCCGACCGCCCTCGGAACTTCTAGGGGCTCCTCCTTCTGCCTTGCACTTTCTGCGCACTTCCCGCCTGGGCGCCGAGAGCGGCGAGCCCAGACTAGTCAACTGTTCGCGACCTTGCGTCCGCCCGCAGCCCGGTCCTGAGACGCCCTTCTATCCTGGGAAGTGGCTCCTGACACACACCGGGAAACTGAGGCACGCTGGGAAACTAGTACCGACCCGACACCCCGTGGTCCCCAGCATTACAGTGACCTGAATGTGGGCGCACCCTCAGAGCAGAGGTTTTACAGGGAGTTACAATGTTGGCCCAGATATATCTCCCGGCTGGGCAGGGGCTCTCTGGCCCGCTCAGGGTCCAGGCTGTGTATGGAGCCAGACAGGATTCTACCATTCCCCCTTCCCAGAAAGACTCGCCTTCCATCGACTCCTGTAGGGATAATCTTGCAGCCATTCCTCCTCTCCCTTCTGGAGGTAGCAGCCAGGGAGCACAGAATTCTGTGCCCTTCAAAGCACTCCTCAGATAGCCTGAAGATTTCCAAGGTGTGTTCCCATCTATAAAAAGAAGATATTGTGGGACGTCTGGGTGGCTCAGTAGGTTAAGGGTCCAACTTGGGCTCAGTTCATAATCTGATCATTTGTGGTTCCAGCCCCACATCAGGCTCTGTGCTGACAGCTCGGAGCCTTGAGCCTGCTTTGGATTCCGTGTCTCCCTCTATCTGTGCTCCTCACCTCCCCAACTTGCGCTTTCTCTCTCTCAAAAATAAATTTAAAAAACCATTTAAAAAAATTTTTTAAATAAGATATTGTGAGATCTTTGGATATGAACCCAAGGGTGAATTGTACAGGGAGCAAAAGGAAGCATTCACCTGGAGGAAAAAGTTGTTAATAGAACATAAAATAGAGACGGGTCTGTTCAAATTGGCTTCAGCCCTAACACCACACTACCCAAAGCTCCTAGGAGTGGCCAGGCCCTAAGTGCGAGGTCAGCGAAATTAAGCAACAATTCCACCAAACAGGTCAGGGCCCAGAACAGAGGGTCTGGCTATTTCCAGCCCTAGAATCAAGCAAAAAGAGGGTAAGCAGAGGTTTTACAACCTCAGGGGGTGATTCCTGGTGGCAGAAATGAAGACGACAAGCAGAGGACAGGAGGTAAAGGGATGGAGAGGAAAGAGGAAAGGAGATGGAAGGAGCCAGTGCCAGATGAGGTACAGTACAGAGAGGTGAAACACCAATGGCAGAGCATAGTGAACAGCGGCTACCTTAATCCTTAATTATACCACTCACTGTGTCTAGATGTCCATCCATTTCATTCTTACAAGTCAGTGAGATGGGCCTTATCCATCTGGGAAGCATGACTATCCATCTTGGTTTACCTGAGATGATCCCAGAGGACACCTGATGTTTCAGAATGTATGATGGGCCAGTTCTGGGGTCAGTAGCACCCGGTAGACATTAGGCCTGAACGAAAGCAGGTTAAGGGGTAGAAAACAAAGTAGAATAATGAGTTGCTATCCCCAGGAAGACGGCTATTTGTTCCTAAGGGACTGAAGAGGATAACTCTGAAACACAAATGAGCCAAGAAAGCCACTGACGTTACTCGATGCTAGACAGGAGGAGTACGTGGCCATCACTGGAGGAATGGAGGGGACCATCTCCACGGCTCCAGAGGGGCTAACCAGACTTCCACCGTGTGGAGCATCTCTTGATTTCAGACAGTAAGAGGACAAGGAATAAGACTCATCACTGCTCGTTTCACGTGCCTCTCAGGAGACATGGTGCCTGTGCGTCTTAATGGACCATGCTTGCCCGGGGCTGGAACTCTGAGAGACATTACTAATATGCCCTCGTGGTGGCGTGGCTAGTGTGCGCTGAGTGCCAACAAGTGGCTGGGAGCAGGGCCACTCCTGAGATAGTCTTTGCCTTATTCCAGTTCCTTCCCCGTGAATTCCAGCCACATATTCCTGTTCAGGAGCCAGAATGGGAGCTTGGTAATGTCCTTGGTAATGTGACTCTTACTGATGTCCCTTACTTGCTCCTGTGGGTAAGCGGGACAATCTCCTTGCTTCCTGCAGCTTTAGGGGAGTGACAAAGAGGATGTTATGGCTCAGATAATCCTTTCACTCACCTACACAAAGCTCTCCACTCTTGACTCCCCTTCCTGTTCTCTGGCACCCCTTCATACTCCTCAAAAACCCTGCAGGGTGCGGACAGCAGTATCTGATGGCAAGAAGGAAGGAATGGATGAGTTACTGAATCAAACTAAAGGAGAAGATCTCGAGTTCTTATTGTAGACAATCCTATCATTTCTCAGAAATGCTTACTGTGGTTTAGTATCAGGCACTTACAGGACAGGAGCTGACCTTTTCGTCCATCAAATGCCCGTTCCTACTGCTAGCAAGTGTCTCTGCTTGCCCACAGGACTTGCTGGGTAGCCAGTAATCTGTACTGGCCTTTTTAAATATGGCAACAGCGTCCTCCCTGGTTTTTTTCCAAGGGACCCAGGGACCCAAAGGCTCAAGGAAAGCCTATGAGAAGTGCCATGAGAATAAGCCATTAGGCAACAGAACCCCAAAATCCAACCACACACATGCAAGCATTATTCTCTGAACATACTGCCCTCTTCCCACTTCTGTTTTACTAAACTGAGAGTGGCATCATTTTTTTTGTGATAATTATTGTGAAATTTCTTGATAGAATCAAGACCCAGACCCTAGATTAGTGGGGTAGGAATTGGGATATTAGAGGAAACAGAATCCCTTTAAGGATTCAATTTCAGGGCACCTGGGTGGCTCAGTCAGTTAAGTGTTAGACTCTTGGTTTCAGCTCAGTCATGATCTCACGGTTTCTGAGTTCAAGCCCCACATCAGGCTCTGCACTGACAGCTGCAGAGCCTGCTTGGGATTCTCTCTCTCCCTCTCTGTCTGTCCTCCTCCCCCCCTGCTGTCTGTCTCAAAAATAGCTACATAAACATTTTTTAAAAATAAAGATTTTATTTCATATTAGGCTTTTTAATTCAGATGCTGAGTACTGTAGTGAAAACAACATAGGCTTTGAGGCAGGGTCAGTTCTGACTCAGATATTACTACTTCTCTGAACCTCAGTCCTTTCACCTGTGAAACATGGGTATTACATCTACCCTGCAGGGTGGCTGTAAGAATTAAAAATTATGCATATTAGGGCACCTGGGTGGCTTAGTCAGCTGAGCATCTAACTCTTGATTTCCATTAAGGTCATGACTTCACAGTTTGTGAGTTTGAGCCCCACATTGGGCTGTGTGCTGATAGTGCAGAGCCTGCTTGAGATTTTCTCCCTCCCTCTTTCTCAGCCCCTCCCCAGCTCATGTGCTCTGTTTCTCTCTCTCAAATTTAATAAACTTAAAAAATTATGCATATAAAAAGTGCCTGGCCAGATTAAGCAGGTTTGGTAAGTGGAGCAATTATTATTATATGTGCACGAGATATTGCCTGCAGTGGACAGACACCAACGGTCATTACAAATGAGAACAAAATATAGGCATCAACACTGGAGTCGTAAAAATCACCAGTGAGTATAGCAAATAGGTTTGACTTGTAAATCCTTGATGTCCTGTGTGTATATATGTGTCTCTGTGTGAATGTGTACGTATATGGGTACCTGTCTGTATACGACTTTACTCAGTGAAGTCATTGTAAGCATCATGATAACACATGTTGAGTAATTTGGGGTTGACAAGGATGGATGTATGGGTTGAGTGAAGTGTCATAAAAAATGAAAGAAGAAAGAAGCTATTATTACCTCAAATATGTCAGATGCTGACATTTCACTAAGAAGAACTGCAATTACATTTCTTCCAGCCAGAGCACCTGGGTGGCTCAGTCGTTTAAGTGTCTGACTTCGGCTCAGGTCATGATCCTGCAGTTGATGAGTTTGAGCCCCATGTCAAACTCTGTGCTGGCAGCTCAGAGCCTAGAGCCTGCTTCAGATTCTGTGTCTCCCTCTCTCTCTGCCCCTTCCCTGTTCAAGCTCTATCTCTCTCTCAAGAATAAATAAACATCGGGGCACCTGGGTGATTCTGTTGGTGAAGCCTCTGACTCGATTTTGACTCAGGTCATGATCTCACGGTCCGTGAGCTCGAGCCCCGTATTGAGCTCCGTGCTGACAGCATGGAGCCTGCATGGGATTCTCTCTCTCCCTCTCTCTCTGCCCCTCCTCTGCTCTGTCTCTCAAAATAAATAAACATAAGTAAATAAATAAACATAGAACATTTTCTTCCAGCCAACACAGTCAAAAGATAGAGATAAGCAAAGTGACCAAAAGATTTTGTTTCAGTGAAAAGACAATGTTCTGAAAGTTTGGCAAAAAGTTCTAGACTTGATATAACCGGTCAAAAGTAAGGGCTTCAGTCTATTCAAGGCAGGACTTGGTCTTTAAAGGAGACCACTATCAGCCGGACAAGGAGGCAGCCCTGCTCTCACGTGGTCACCCAGTGATGGCAGCCAATGTATGAGGGTGACCTAAAAGCAGGAAAGGGAGGAGCAGATTGAGGAAGCAGTTAACTCATTAGTCTCCCAAAGTCATTTTGTTGGGGGGAGGGGGGGACAGAAATATAAAAGAAGATACAGTAATGAAAAAAGTGAGGTGGCCTCAGGCAGCCTCGTCATACAAGCCGAGGACAATTTCGGGTTGCTCTAGTATCCGGACATAACAGTTCACTCATCTATTCATTTAATAAACACTTGTTAAGTGTCAGCTCTGCGCCAGGCACAGCACTATGCTCAGGATACACTGATATATAGGATAGGTGCCGCCCCTGACCGCAAAGAACTTACAGTTGCATGGGACAGAGATGGATAGAGACATAATTCCACCTCAACGAGCTCCAGTAGAATAAATCAATTCAAATAAGAAATAGCCTGTAGAATTATGTTCATTCTGCTATGGTGGCACCGAGAAGGGGGCAGACAACTGTGACAGGCTTCACAGCAGGTAATACAAGCAGCAGAACTGAAGTACAGCTAGGTGCCTGCCAAGCAGAGAAGAGACGAGTGGCCGAGTGCACAGGCACTAGTGGGTGCTCAACAAGGGGACAGGGAAAA